GCAATTAATTGCTATTATGTAGTGATGATATGATAACAAAAATTTACATACTTTTTGTTACACAAGCATGCTGAATATATCTTAATAAGAATACAAGTGAAGGGTACCGGGGAAAAACGGCATTTGTCCATTATTTGGCTAAATTGACCTTTCAGTTTATTTTGGTGGATTTTCCTGATCCTATCTTGTAATCAGCTTCTTAAATTGTAAAAAGGGCCTAGGTTCGCAAAACAACAGCTATCAGATTCCCTGTGCCGGGGAAGAATGGCATGAGTCCTTGCGCGTGTATGGAAAAACGGCATCAGGCAAAGGCGGCGTTACATCGGTCGTACCGCTTGGGCGCTTCATTATTGCATCAGCCATTAGTTTACTATTATGTATATACGCTGATATTTTGAATATTGACTATATTCGCTAATTTAGCTTATAATACGGGTTTTGTGTATAATGGGATAGTGACTATTCAGTTTCAAGTGAAAATGAACCAAGCCCATCTAACAGAGAAACGAAAAAACGCAAAAAACAGAAAGACAAAGAGACGTAATGAAAACGTTGCGCGCCACTACCCACGAACTGATTGTTTTTGTGAACGTTTTCGCTGTTTTACTACTGTTCCTGAACCTGAACGCTGTAGACTTCTTCGTGAATTTAATGTACTAGGAAACACTAATACACAAAACGCTTATCTTAATGGTCTTATCACTGTTCTTCCTGTCATGCGTAGACGCCCTCGAAAAAATGAAGCAGAGTCAAGGCTTATTAATGCTTCATTTAGTTATCGTGTCCGATTGGTTGAAAATGACATTATACGTGATGTTCCAGTTTGTCTTAAGGCTTTTTTGTCTTCACACGGAATTACAGTTCGTCGAGTTCGGTACATAAGAGACACATTAGTTGCAACTGGGAAATCGCCCATCGACATGCGTGGAAAACACAACACACGACTTCACAACTTTCAGAAAACACAAAACAGAAAGTGACCGAGTTTATTAAGAGCCTCAAATGCCGCAAATCTCATTATTCTTTAGCAAATTCGCAAAAAGTTTACCTACCTGAAAATCTAAATGTCGCAAAATTACATAAAATGTATTCTATTGGCAATTTTGAAAACAAGATTTCCTCTGAATACTTCCGAGAAATCTTTGAAAACAACTTCAATATATCGTTCGGTTATCCACGAAAAGATACTTGTAGTACGTGTGCAGTCTTCAATGTAAAGTTTGCCCTTAAACGGTAGTTAACTTTCACCGGGCTAACTAGAGAGGTGTAGTCAAATCTTCTAGTCTAGTATGAAAAGAGTATTGCCATTATGGAATTCCCTAACCTGCGACTGCCAAATCGGGGTTAAAAACCTAGCATGATACATTAAATTTGTATTTACAGGCGCCGAGAATTCTCTGGATCCGGAAGGCGCGATGCCTGAAACGTGATCATTTTTTTCTTGCTTTTGTACAGTAATGGATTGCTGCCAACATCCAAGTCTTTGTAGGGCGCCCACAGTTTCGATTCCGCCCCTTCACACTTTCTAATCTTCAAAATTCTGGCGGCGTCCCAACTACAGTGGAAACCACTTATAATGAACTTGCTTATAATGGAAACCCGTATATAATGGACACAATTTAAGGTCCTATAAATAAATGTATGTAAAATCGTCGGATATTATGGACTCGCTTAAAATAGACCCTCGCTTATAGCTTATGCAATCCTTTTCGCCGGTTTGGCTTCGCAGATTACATTCGAACTTAGCCACCAGTGTTATACTATATTTATTGGAGTTATAAACATATCGAAAAGTGCAAAACGTGCATTCACTTTACACGAAAAGTTCACAAGAATTAGTGAGCTTGAGCAGTGTTCATCTCAAGCAAATATATATGCTCGTATAGCTATAAAAAAATCCACTGAGTCAAATATTTGGAAAAACCGTGATAAAATTAAAAATGACTGGAAATCAAATAGTCAAAAGAAAAAATGCGGCTATCGCTGCATCCCCAAGTCGACGATATGCTGTTTAAATGGCTTCAACAAAAGCGTGCTAATAATTTTCCAATAAGTGGTCCTATGCTACAAATAAAGGCTGAAGAATTTGGGAAATTGATTGGAGGTTAAAGACATAACATTGTTTTTGTAAAAATCTGTGGTGAGTCAGCTTCAGTTGACAAAACCGTTACAATGACTGGATTTTTCAAGTTTGACCCGTAATATCCAGTGATTATTCAGATGATAACATATTCAATGCAGATGAAACTGGGATATTTTATAGAATGCTACCAGATAAAACTCATAAATTAAAAGGTAAAACTTGCAATGGAGGGAATCTATCAAAAGAGCGAATAACTGTTATGATTTGTGCTAATGCTTCTGGTACTGAAAAACGGAAACTATTGATAATAGGTAAGTGATTTTTTTATACCTATTGATTGGCAGTGCTGAAAAGAATTTATGACCTTTTTTTATTTCAGGGAAATTTAAGAATCCCAGACGTTTTAAAAATGTTAAAACAATTCTCGTCGATTATGTTGGAAATAATAAAGCTTGGACGATTTCATCAATTTTTGAAGAATAGTTAAAAAAGTGGGATGCTAAACTTGTTAAGAAAAATCGTAAAATTTTGCTCTTGGTCGATAACTGCCCCGCTCATCCAAATATTTCACTTAATAACATCAACCTTCAATTTTTTCCACCCAATGTGACATCAGTTCTGCAACCAATGGACCAGGGTGTCATTTAGGCCCGTATCGTCAGTCGTCCTTACAATTGTAGGGCGCCTTTATGCCCTCCTTGATTGTCATAGTTTTCTACTTCTCCGTGTCAGAACTCTATTTAGAGGTTATGTTACAAACATCTATTTGCATCAAATTGTGCTTGCTTTTGAGTTATATCATGTTTTATCAGCCGGAAATTTCCTATAAGTTAAAAAGAAAACATATCTTCACAATAGGAGAGCACTGACGCTGACACGGGACAAGTGTAATCTAGAAATTTTTGAAGGAGAGAAAGGAGTATGACAATCAAGGAGGCCATAAACGCGCCCTACAATTATTGTAGGGACGACTGACGATACGGGCCTTAGAGTCTTAAACAAATGTATCGGCAACATATGTTGATGAACATTATGGAGCTTCAAGAAGATGTCAACATTACCAAAGCAGTCACCATTTTAGATGCTATAAATTTGCTTACTATTTCATGGGAATTGGTTACTACAGAAACGATTCGTAATTGTTTTCGCCATGCTGGTTTAGTGAAAAACATAACTGAAATAGTCAACGATTTTAATCCAGAAGATGAAATTCCATTAAGTGATTTACTGAAAATTAATAGTTTACTGAATCTAGACAAATTTGATGAATATGTAAATGTTGACAATAATTTAATAGCACGGAGGCATTAGACTGCGTGAAAAAGTTGCAACTTTATTTTCAGCAAGAAGAGGACAGCACAGCCACACTTACCAAATTAAATAAAATTCAACTTGCTGTTCTTGATAATTATACAAAAAAAACAATCTATTCAAATGAAAATTACTAGCTTTTTTACCAAATAATTTACGGTTTTTACACATACCTACACAGTACGTACAGGTATGTCTGTAATATGTGTATCAGATTCTGAAAAAATGCAAATTTCAAAATTACGTATAACTTTTTTGTATGTATCTTTATTTATGTAATACATATTAAACAAACACATTTTAAGCTTCTAATATGTTATTTCTGCTGCTTTTGTCATTAAAAAAAAGTAATTGCATGTAAAATCCTCGGATATTATAGACTCGCTTAAAATTGACCCTCGCTTATAGCGGACTATTTTAATCCATTATATGCGAGCTATTTTGGTAGTTCCCCGAAGGAGATTTAGCTGATGCAATCGTTTACGTCGGTTTGGCTTCGCAGTTTGCATTCGAACTTGGCCACCAGTGTTATACTGTATTTATTAGAGTTATAAACATGGCGAAAAGTGCGAAACGTGGATTCATTTTACACGAAAAGTTCACAATAATTAGTGAGCTTGAGCAGGCTTCATCTCAAGCAAATATATGTGCTCGTATGACTATAAAAAATCCACTGTGTCAAATAGTTGGAAAAACCGTGACAAAATTAAAAAGACTGGAAATCAAATAGTCAAAAGAAAAAATGCTGCTATCTCTGCATCTCCAAGTCGATATGCTGTTTAAATGGTTTCAACAAAAGCGTGCTAATAATTTTCCAATAGGTGGACCTATGCTACAAATAAACAAGAATTTCGGAAATTGATTGGAGATTACTTCAAATGTAGTTCCAGTTGGATAGACACTGTGATTTACTGAAAATTTATAGTTTACTGAATATAGACAAATTTAATGAGTATGTAAATGTTGACAATAATTTAATAGCAACACAGGAATTGTTAGAGTCCAATTTGGTTAATGAAGTGATCCGTTGATAACGAAGAGGAAGGCGAACTAGAAAACAACGATAAAGAGGAGCTTCCAGTGCCAACTAAGGAGGCATTATACTGCGTGAAAAAGTTGCAACGTTATTTTCAGCAAGAAGAAGACAGCACGCCACACTTACCAAATTAAATAAAATTCAACTTGCTGTTATAAATAATCATACAAAAAGACGGTCTGTTCAAATGAAAGTTACTAGCTTTTTTACCAAATAATTTGCGGTTTATACACATACCTACACAGTACGTATGCCTGTAATATGTGTATCAGATTCTGAAAAAATGCATATTTCAAAATTTCGTATAACTTTATTTATGTAGTACATGTTAAACAAACACACTTTAAGCTTTTTTCTGCTGCTTTTTTCATTAAAAAAAGTTTTTCTTTTAAGATGGTCATCCGACTATAATAGACTATTTGTCACAGTCCCGCCGAGACTATTATAAGCGGGTTGCACTGTATATGCTGAACTTGCTGGATACACAGTAGTGTATGAGAGATCATTCTTGTTTTTTGTATAGTAGTAAATTAGCACCTCACACCCCCTAAGTATAGCATGGTCCATATGAATTTTAGGCGAGGGCGCCCCTTCAACCACCATTCGGGAATTGCAGTCGGCGATGGGCCGCTGCCTAGTCGCCCTGCTGCTGACGACCTCTGCCTCCGTGGTTGGCGTCCCTCATTTCGATCCGACGGCGCCCTTTCGCGGCATCCTGGTGCCTGCAGATGCTGTCGTGGGCGCCGTCGTCTACCGTCTTCGCGCCTCCGATGACGGTTTCCACTACCCGCTCCGGTTCCGGGTTCTGCACGGGGGCAGCGACGGTGCCATTGATGTTGATGCATTGCCATGCACCAGGTTCAACTCGGTAAGTTCACAAGTGCACATTTAGGTCTAGATAAATTATCTTGAATTGAAGAAATCGTGAATATGGATGATCTAAATCTGTTTGCCTTCCGTCTCCGTGCCGATGACCAACCGTATACAGGGTGTTCCTTAATGATATGCGAATATTTAAGGGTGTGAATCTACATGAAAAATTAATGTTGGTTTGCTTTATAAACTATAGTCCAAAAATGTTTCCTTACAAAAACTAGGGGAGTTGAAGTTTTAGGAAAAAAAAATGGAAGTTAATTAAAATTTTCAGAACCGCTTCAGATATTTCACTGATATTTAGTACGTAGTGAAAGTTGATAAAGTTGCATGTTTTTCAATAAAAAAATAATTTTTAGCTTTAACAGTGGCGTGCGTGAATTCGATATTTTTTACGGAAAAAGTAGTACGCCAATGGTTTTTGCCAAATAAAAATTATTTTTGAATTACCGGTTTAATTTAAAACAAATGATCTCTCTTGAATTGTTTTTCTTCGATGCGCCATTTTTTAATAAAAAAAAATAAAAAACGTTCTAACTTGCAAAATTATTATTAATTTAATTTTTAAAAATTAAACACGTTAGGGGTAAAGAACAACAGCTGACAACATAAACATAAAATTAAAACCAACGAAATGATTACAAAAATTGTTGAAAATGGCACCCTTCACTTAGTATACATGCTTCCGCCCTCCTTCTCATGGAATTGCGCACTGGTTGAAATATCCCTGAAGTGTTTTTTATTCTATCACAAGCTGCAACTATTGTTTCTCTTAATTCCTCTACAGTCTATCTTAAGATAGCCCCATAAAAAGAAATCTAAACTGTTGAGGTCTGGGGACTTTGGTGGCCATTCTTGGGGCCCACCGCGGCCAATCCAACGATTTGGATAAACAGTTTGTAAATGATTACGAACCGCTACTGTTGTTGAAGAAAATTTATGTAAGTCTTTCCATCAAGTCGCCTCGGCAAGAAGAATGGACCAATAAAGTGGTTGCCAATAATTTCTACCCATACGTTAACCGAAAATTGGTATTGGAAATGGGTTTCGGTTACGGCATAGGGATTTTCTTCTGGCCACAAATGATTATTGTGGAAATTCTGAATGGCACTTCAAATTGCGGGTTTTGTGAAATTTTTGTAAGATACCAGTGACAAAAGGTCACACGCCTTGGAAAATCAATGTGAAGTAATACCTGTACTTTTGAAATATGATAAGGATATAACAAAAATCCACTAAAATTCTCCAAACAATTTGATGACGAATATTTAAGTGCCTAGCGGTCTTCCTCGTACTCGTTTCAGGATGTTCTTCGACTTCGTGCAGCACTGCTTCCTCAATTTGAGGTGTTCTCACACTTAGAGGTCTACCTTCAGATGTTCCTTTTCGGACAGAACCGGTTTCAACAAGACGACGATGAAAATTAGAAAAGGTTCGACTATCTGGGAAAGCACGATCGGGATATCTCCGGTGATAAATCCGTCTGGCTTGCTCACCATTACCGTCTGCAAGGCCATATACGTAATGCATTTCCGCCATTTCTGCATTTGAATAATTCACCATTATTAACAAGATTATAAAAACTAAATCATCAAAAAGATGTCACAGCGAACAGATTTGAATAACAGAGACTTGTCAGATGTCAAAAGCCACTGACATATTCCAGAGCAACTAGATATTTATTGCTAAATTGCATTCTTCCATTATCTTCAATTTCCTAGGACAATAGAGCGGTTTTTATTTTTTTACTCAAAAATGGCGCATCGAAGGAAAAAATAATGTGCCAATAAATCTAAAAATTGCAATTTTATCGGTAGATTCATCAGCAATTAATGAAGATTTATTTGTTTAACAAATAATAAATTAATAGAATTTTCAAAACTGTACTGTTTAATAAATAATAAATTAATAGAATTTTCAAAACTGTACTGCCCTAAAACATTATTGACAATAGCTGTAGCTTTGGTACGAGAACATGTGAAATCTCTGAATCGTCAAATGGTATTCTAATGATTTCTGATAAATGCTCTAAAGTATTAAACGAAATGTTATGTTCAGCTGCATATGCTGCAATTCGAATTTCAGCAGCTTTGATTTTGTTATTTAAAGATATTTTTTCCATATAAGATGTCATATCGGTCAAAGTTTTTTGTGGGTTTAATGATCTTACCAATTTGGTGTGTTGTTTTCCTGAAGAATGTTTCTGGATTTCAGATTTGCCACATATAAAATCTTTATTGAATGCCTTGCAGAATGCATAATTGGACCATTTCTTTCTGCTCCTCAGCCAACCTTTAAATTCAGGATCTTGTTCCCATAGGATTTTTTTCTTTTTTCTTATATGTCTAGCTTCCTTCAGAAGAAGACGTTGAGGATTCCAATTCATCAGCATGTTTAGAAGTTGATGGTTGAGGTGTAATTGAGGACATGCTGTTACATCTGTAATTATAAAGAAACAATAGTAAACAATTTTAGAAGTTTGGTTTAAAATACATAGAACATTGATATACATCTTATAATATGTGTGTCTAAGATATCAATAATTCATTAATTTATAGAAATATTTTTTCATTAACTTTAATACTAGATAATTAATTTCTGAGTAAACTCTGAAGAACCTCCCCGATCAAGTATAATAATTGGAAATGTAAATATTTTATAATAAATAAATAGGTACTTACCTATGTCAAATAAGTTCAATGTCGAAAAACTTTAAATGATTATTCGTTAATAATTTTAGAGCACAAGCTAAAAACAATAGTTATTCTAAGGCACAAATAGCACAGGGCACAGTCCGTACAATTACATATAAACAGCAGAAAATGCAACAGAAACCACCCTGTGGTTTATATATTATTATATTATAGCCCAGGTATTTCCCCGTATGTAAAATACCGTTCTGGTATTCACCGACGGGAAATCACCGACGGGGAACCACAGCGTTTCCCGAATGTTATGAGTTATGATTTCCGACCGGTTTGTTGATACAATTTGGTGTTTGTACATTTTAATATATTTTTAATCAGATTTTATAGGTACAATCGGAAGGTATTTTAAAAGTAATACATTTGTTTCTTAGTTTATTCTCTATATCTCGTTTATTTTTTGTCCCTGCTGCTTAAAATTTTCTTACAGAGTTTAGAATTCCCTAGATTTTGTACAAATTTAAATAAATCTCCTTTTTCCCTAAGCTTGCTCGTAATTCCCTAGATATAGGGACATTTCCCTAGGTCTGGTAACACTGAACTGGCATGGTCGTTACTTGAGGTAGCGCAGGGAAGGAATTTCTAGATGGTGGGGACTATACGTAGACTAATTGTGTTTTGCTAAGTTGATCCATTTATTTTTTTGTTATGCATGTTCTTAGCAAACTTTTTTCTTAAAGAAGCCAGCTTGAGCGGAACATCATCCTTCACGAAGTGAGGGCAGCCTTCTATTAAAAATGCATTTTTTTTGTTGTGGTTTGTCATTCATGGTATTGCTTCATTATGTAAAGTACAAATATATGATATGTACTATTTGTTCAAGCAAGCACTGTACCCAGTAGGAGAGATGTAGGGAACTTCGTTTTTCTGCTTACAGGTTTGCCAAGCCAACGTGATATTACGGAAACGCCTTGAAATTGGTCGTTTCTATGACTTCACTGTTGAGGTCGCCAACCAGAGAAGCGAGTTTGCCAGACTAAATTGTTCATTCCGTGCCACAAATGCGACTACTCCACTAGATAAGATATTTCCAGGTGCACAGAGTATATTCACAGTCTCAGAAGGCAGGTATTTTTATTTTAACAGTCACAAAAATTCTCCACCTTCCCAAAAAAACTGGAAATTTGTTCATGTCGAACCCATCCCAAAAAAGGGATCTAGGATCCGCTCTTACAGCTAGAGGCCTAAAGCTCTGCATTGTGTTATAAGTAAGGTGGATAAATAGCGAGCTTCTGGAGTACCTTGACGGCTTGATTAGCGACAGGCAATATGCTTTCCGGTACCAGCGATCTACAGGGGACCTCCTAGCTTACGTCACGCAATTGTGGAGTAAACTCTTCCATCCATAAAGCTTATGTCGTTACTCTTGATATCACAAAAGCGATCAGCTGTTGCCGCCCTCTTATGCGAACTCCCATCGTACGGCTCCCAGAGATGCAGATGGGTGAGCTGGAAAAATGAGGACTAGAAGCGATTTTTCGTCTGACAAGAGATCTGAATTATATCCCTTCTTGGGGACGCAATAATCTTGTACAATTTAACGCTTCCAAAACACAGCATTGTACCTTGACGAACAGAAAGCGTCCTAGCGCTCATCCGCCTTCGATGAATGGTTGAGTTCTGCCAAAGGGCTGGTTACAGGATTTGATCTCGTACAAAAACATCTCGACAATAGCGGCAACTGCTGGGAAAACTAGGTTCATTGCATAGGGTTTAGAAGTACTTTTCTCCTCAAAAAAAATTTAAAAAAGTGGCGTCCCTGCCCATATGACTTCAAAATAAGCCGATTCCAAGTAGCTTACCTTAGTTCAAAATTGCTCCGATTCCGAGATACAGGATGCCAAAGTTAGAAAATAAAAATCCTTTCTTTTAGTTCATGAACAATTCTTAACGTATTACTTCAAAAAATGGTATCCGGGGCTTTTTTGGAATGCGGAACCCGAATATAGACATTTTTTTATTGTAGCTGTTAGAGGGCGCTTCATACTGCACTTCGGATCGTTTTAACCAGGCACAACTTTCTTCTCAGTGTGGTTTTTTACTTTTTTTTGTTAAAAAAAAAACAATTTCCCTTTTAAGCAAGAAGGGCATTTCTGTTAAAATACGGTTTGGTGAGCAGTTTTCGAGAAATTCGCAAATTTCTTTATCAATGCAGGTTGTGGCGACTAAATCAAAATGCTCAGAAATTTACAAAAACTAAGTACATATGTGATAGATCCCGTCAAAATGAACAGTTTTTTTTCTATAGAGGGCGTTTCACACTGCACTTCGGATCGTTTTAACCGGCCACAACTTTTTTCTCAGGGTGGTTTTTTTAATTTTTTTGTTAAAAAAAACAATTTCCCTTTTAAGCAAAAAGAGCATTTCTGTTAAAATACGGTTTGGTGAGCAGTTTTCGAGAAATTCGCAAATTTCTTTATAAATGCAGGTTGTGGGGACTAAATCAAAATCCTCAGAAATTTACAAAAACTAAGTACATATGTGATCGAGATATAAGAACTTCTTATCTCTTTGGCAAGGTTTCCATCTAATTTCCACATGTTTTATAAAATTCGTCATATGTTTGTCCAATGTTTCTGCATTAATGGTTTTGTGGTGCAAAAAATATAACTCAAGCGTTTTTAATAGTTAAACTTTGTTTTTGGTTCTGTTCAAATACCACTCGTTAAATAAGTCTGTATTTTTCATTTTGATTGGTTTCTGTTGCGCACTAAACTTTAAAAATTCGTTTACAAAAGTGTCTCAAATGAAACTGCACTTTTTTATCGGAACCCATTAGTGTCAAACTTCTGAAAAACATTGCACGGATGTACTAAAAAACATGCGACGATAGCGCAAAGCTGTCAACATTCCTTTCAAATTCAGTTGTTTTTCCAAACGTAAACTATATTGAACTTATTAGGTCAGAGCCTTCTGGGATTACAATTACGTCATACGCCTGAATGATGAAAATTGATAAAAAATATTTTTTTGTTTTGAAGTTAAATAAAAAGTAAAGAGAAATATAATATTTATACTTGGTTACGATTTTCGCGGAAATGGTGCTCTCTGAACCACTGTGCGATGCCCAGGCATTTAGACTTCTGCCTGCGCGGCTGCTTCGGTATAAAAACTAACTTGTGTAAAATGCAAGCAACACAGACATGAACAGTGCTTAGACTGGGCAAACGATGACACGCTCGAGTTATATTGAATTGATTAAGAAGTAAGTTTAAATGATATATAATCAAAATTCAATCAATCTAAAAAGGTGCTAGGATGGGTATGTTTCAGTGCCACACGTTGAGATTTGAAACTACATAATTTTGAGTAGCCCATTCCACGATCTATCTCCATGATTTGGTGTGATATGAAACCACTGATGTCAAATCAAAAGATATACGAGTAATATAATGTCCAACTAATACCTGATTGGTCTCGATTATGACTACGACACGTTGTTCAGCCTCACGGTTTTGGGTCTCAGCTTTTCCTCGATCTTAAGGCTTCCTTCTCTATATGCAGTTTTTCAAGTAATTTCACGCATGTTTAATAATATATGGGAATCTGTTTTAACCAATATGTTTACTATATGATCTGCAGCTGCAAGAAGAAACACAGAATTGGGTGCGATCATAGCGAAAGGTAGTCCTGACAGTCAAAAACCAGTATTGTTGGAACTATGGGGATCTCCGGAGTTCGGTCTGCACCAAAAAGTAATCAACGAAAAAGATGCAGAAGGTACTATTGTACTGCTTCGGACGTTGGACTATGAGAAGAAAACTATACATCAATTGCTTTTGCTTGCCAACGTAAGTACCAAATGCTTTAACGAAATTGTTCATTTTGTCTGGAGAGGGTCAAATTTCACGGCAGTGTTTAAAATCTCTATTGTCACACTTAAAAATAAGTGTTCATATTATAATAAATGCGCATGTAACAGAAGACCGAATTACTTCAGCCTGATAAGGGACGGATTTTTGTTCACCGATGAATCCGGTCAATATAGCTCAAAAAAAGTTTGGAATAATTATCATAAAGCTGAAAATTTGTCTCCATATTAGGAACACAATTATAAATGAGATGTGAAAAGTGTTCATCAATCCCGCGTATGCAAAAGAATTATTCGAAGTAAAATTTTGTGAATATTGTTTATTTCATCGCCATTATATTTCAGACAAAAACAGTGGATTATGGAGTTATCTATAAGTTTTTTCCAATAATCATCACTCCTGATATGTAGCGATTCCAATGTACGCTATTCTTCCATATACCCGTGTATATTATATAGGGACCTCAGTTTATAAGAACAGGCCTTTATTTCATGATCAGAGACTAATCCACTCTTCTGTTGTCGTCATACCACTCCTGAGGCTAACTTAGGAACAATACTTAGGTCAAGCCCTTTATTGGCATCTCGCAAATTGTATCCGGATACAGGATAAAAAATGAATGTATGATGTTTTTGAACCTAGTCAACAGAAGTGAGTGTTATTGGTCAATCAACTTGGTTTGAATTATTCAAATGTGCGCTGGAGGATACCATAATAGAAGGCCTCAGTGTGCACTATTTTCAGTGGTATGAACAATAATATGCCAAGTTGCAGACGCCTATAACGCTCAACCGATACCTTGTTCCAGGATCCATGGACTAACACAACGGAAGATACCCGCAACATAGCCGGTTGGCCAGTGCTGATAAGCGTCCTGGATGTCCAGGATACTCCGCCCGTCTTCACGGCTGCTCCACCCACCACACAACTGCCTGACGGTCTAAAGTCAGGTGACCAAGTGTTAAGGGTGAGAGCAGAAGACGGTGACAGGGGAAACCCCCGGGAAATTCGGTACACCCTGCGACAACAGGAACAGGACGTGCCTGAGGGGTATTTTGATATAGACGAAAGGACTGGTAAGCGGTACGATATAATAATAATTAACGACTTTTTTATTTTAATAAGGAGGCGAGATTAAAATACTGTATCTATTCTACCACTTAACCCCCTTAACAGTACGAGATGTATAAAAACTGAAAATTTGTTAAAAATTAAAACCTTTATACAAAAACGACAATAATAAAGCATAATTAATGTAAAGTCATAAAGCATAAAGTCAGTTAACACTTATTGGTTACAAAAGATTTTGCTGCCGATCAAGTAGAATTTCTGTCAATTTTGCAATGACTAAATAAATACATTTTATCAATTTTTATCCAGCTCAGGTCACTAATGGCATTCCATATATGGTAATATTTTCTGAGATGATTTACAAGCCTGCAACGTGTATTCATAATACTTTCTTATTATAATATTTAAATAGGGATAGTATACCACTAAGCAATACGATATTTTTGAAAACAAGAAAGATTTACACAATTGCTTTCTCGTAGATTTATTTTTAATTATATTTGCAAATAAAACAGCGTAGCACTGGGAAACTAGGTAGTTCACGTGCTCAACAAACTTTAAATCGTTATCCATTATGATACCTAGGTTCTTAGAATGATCCACAGGATCAATTTTATTACCTTTTAAATTTATGTTTATACCATTTTTCAAAGCATTTCTATTATGGCTTCTACTAAAATTTTCATTTTGGGAAAGATCTTGATTTATGTTATTATTTGCTGTTTCCAAGTCATTATTCCTAAATGAATAGAAAATCTCAGTATCGCCGGCAAAAAATTGAATGCTGCATGATTTTACATCTGTTTCTAAATCTGACATATACAGGGTGTTCCTTAATGATATGCGAATATTTAAGGGTGTGAATCTACATGAAAAATTAATGTTAGTTTGCTTCATAAACTATGGTCCAAAAATGTTTCCTTACAAAAACTCGGGGTGTTGAAGTTTTCGGAAAAAAATGGAAATGTATTTATATTTTCAGAACCGCGTCAGATATTTCACTGATATTTAGTACGTAGTGAAAGTTGATAAAGTTGCATATTTTTCAATGCAAAAATAATTTTTAGCTTTAACAGTGGCGTGCGTACGAGTATTGACTTAGATATTTTTTAAGAAAAAAATGGTACGCTAATGGTTCTTTGCCAAATAAAAATTATTTTTGAATTCCCCGTACAATTTAAAACAAATGACCTCTCTTGAATTGTTTTCCTTCAATGCGCCATTTTGTAGCAAGAAACTAAAAACCGTTCTATTGTCTAACTTGCAAAATTATTATTAATTTAATTGGAAAAATTAAACACATTAGGAGTAATGAACAACAACTGACAACCTAAACATAACATTAAAACCAACGAAATGATTACAAAAACTGTTGAAAATGGCCCCCTTCCGCCCTCCTTCTCGTTGAATTGCGCACTCGTTGAAATATCCCTGGAGTGTTTTTTATTCTATCACAAGATGCAACTATTGGTTCTCTTAATTCCTCTACAGTGTTAATGGGACTTGTGTAGACAAAAAGAAATCTAAACTGTTGAGATCTGGGGACCTTGGTGGCCATTCTTGGGGTCCACCGCGGCCAATCCAACGATTTGGATAAACAGTAAATAATTTCGAACAGCTACACTGAAATGCGTTGGTGCACCATCATGCATGTACCACATATTGTTTCTTATTACTAAGAGAACATCATCAAGCAGCAAAGGTAACTGTTGTTGAAGAAAATTTAGGTAAGTATGTCCGTCAAGTCGTCCCGGCAAGAAGAATGGGCCAATAAAGTGGTTGCCAATAATTCCTGCCCATACGTTAACCGAAAATTGGTGTTGGAAATGGGTTTCGGTTACGGCATAGGGTTTTTCTTCTGCCCACAAATGATTATTTTGGAAATTTTGAATGGCATTCCGAGAAAAATTAGCTTCGTCCGTGAACAGAATCATTGATTCAAATTGCGGATTTTGTGTAACTTTTTTGAAGATACCACTAACAAAAGGTCACACGCCTTGTAAAATCAATGGGAAGTAATGCATGTACTCTTAAAATATGGTGAGGATATAACAAAAAATCCTCTAAAATTCTCCAAACAATTTGATGGCAAATATTTAAGTATCTAGCGATTTCCCTCGTACTCGTTTCAGGATGATCTTCGACTTCGTGCAGCACTGCTTCCTCAATTTCACGTGTTCTCACACTTAGAGGTCTACATTCAGATGTTCCTTTTCGGCCAGAACCAGTTTCACAGATGACACAGCGAACAGATTTCAATAACAGAGACTTGTCAGATGTCAAAAGCCAGTGACATATTCCAGAGTAACTAGATATTTATTGCTAAATTGCATCCTTCAAAAGACCATTACCGTCGGCAATGCGATATACGTAATGTATATCCGCCATTTCTGCATTTGAATAATTCAACATTATTAACAAGATTGAAATATAATTTAGTTTGCGCGCTAACTTTACAAACAGATCAGCGCATTTCAATGGAATCTTTTTTTTTTATAAACTTTCTCATCTGTGGCCTTTGAACGAACCCTGTATATTGGTCAGAAAGCTAGCAGTGATGGCCGGAAGACAGGTGTTTTGGGATAAACAATTAGAAATTCTCGAAAACTACATGACCAATCGACTCCAATTTTGTTTTGCTTATTTAGAAGTATGAATTCTTCGGATTCAAAGAATTTCAAGTAGCTGCGTGAAATTATCGTCGCATTAGCAACATGTGCTAAAAACCTGTATTTTGCCTCGGTTTTCGGCCATAAGTTTTTTACCATGAGTCGGATCGTTTTACGTGTGATCTCATTTTGTAGGTCTCATAAATACCTGAAAATCTTATTTGAAGAGTATTTTCGGTTCTGCCAACACTTTCGAGTGAATCCCAAAAAAGGAGTTTTCTCATTCTTTGTTGTCGAATAAAAAGTTTTCCCATAAAAATTGGTGTACCCATTTGATGCGTCCATGTTCTGATTACACCCTTGAACAACTTGCATCAATAAAACCAGGCTTTACAATTATTTCGCAAACCAGGGGTATTTTCATCTAATATGATTAGACTATACCTACCAAAACAAATATTTTTATTCAGGATTAATGGAATTCAATATAGATCGTCAAACCAGTTTTCTCAGGAGAATGAAGCACAAATGTATGCCTGGATATTGGCTTAGTTGCGTTATACTTTTTGAGTTCAGATTCAGAATCTGAATAACGACCCACATTTTAACAGGATGTAGAATCGATGGGTGAAACGATATAGTATACAAACTTACATCTAGCGACATGTCACTCGATATTTTTATTGAAGTAACGAATTACGGCTTGGATGCAGCAAGTTGGATTTATGGATGCAGATTGGTTATCGCCGGCTCCTTTTTTGATGATGCTTAAATGTATCACTGGCGGATTTAGAGGGGGGGGGGGCATACTAACTATAAGTTATAGCTATAGGAACTGAGCATTATGATTTTTTTGGTATCCTTTAGTATTCCAAATGCTGTTCCTCTTTGACATCATTTGTTTACAGCACCACTCTTACGATTTATACGTATATACGAGTATTGTGTTGTGACAAATCTAAGTCTGGGACTTTGAAGTTGAGTCATTAATTTTCAGATAATGATTGTAGAAGGAAGATAAACCAAAATATGTGTGTAAAAATAAAAAAAAATTAAAAAAAATTTTTACCTTGTTTTATAAAGTATCCTCCCGACAAGTATTTCAGTGCGGACCTGTATTTGATAGTGAGGTCCCCTGTGAGGTCTTAAGTCACCTGATTCACGAGCCCGTTGTACTACATTAACAAAGGCACGAGGGGTTGGTTGCACTCGATTGGGAAACCGATCCGCATAAACATGTGCCATTTTTTATTTCGTTTGAGCCACGCAACAGACACCAACCACTATTCACACGCGTTACCGACTGACACTGACTGTATGTATACAACTGAATAAAATAATTGTAAAAACATCGTTCCAAATTCTTTCGCTTTTTTGTTTCCGATGCGATGAACTGATAAGGCGGATTATATCCGTTGTTGCCAAACACGAGCACATGATATTATTATTGAGACAGGGCGGTACTCAAACTTCCAAAGGGCTATAACTTTGTTACATTAATTTTACCAGAAAAATGGTAAAGGAAAAAACATTTCTTTTGATCAGATCTACTCACTGTTAAAATAAATGACTCAACTTCGAAGTCACCCTGTATATCAGCTATGCAGATTGCACTTAAAAAGTGATTTATGTTCTGTTTGTTGCTCAATAGTAATTTGAAAAGTGTGTAAAGCTTGACTGATTTTGTTCAGGGTTGGTGTTGCAGCGAAGCACTATGATATATGAATGCCGAAACTGGAAATAGACATTTATGAGATTTGTTTGTGGTGCGCCTAAGGCCTGTCTAGAAACTGCGTCGATCGATGCTCAAAAGCAATACCACACGTCCCGTATCTCTTATCGCGTATGTGTCTATTTATGTTGCTATATTGAATTCATTTAAATCACAGAGCTGCTGGACTATACGTGAATATGTACAGCCCTGTATTCCTGTACTTGTTCAATACAAACATACATTATCAAAATAATTACGATCTAACAGATATAGTTTTTTCCAAAGATTTCCAACATTTCTACATCCGATCAACACCGGTTCGAAAACTGAGAAAACAACTATGCCGTAAATCTTAGTTCGATAACGAAAGTCTGAAAAATAACTGTAAAATCTATATTGAATTTCAAACACCCCAACCCCTACTGAGCCGGGCCGTGGCAAATGCTTGTTCCGGAAGTTGTTGTATCCAGCATACAACTTCTTCCCGTACAAGTGATTGTACACGCGTTAAGGAATACCTCAGTACCGATTGCCGGGTGGCGGTACAAGTCCGCCAACGGGCCACTTTAGGTCTATTTAATATCATTAACACGTAAAGAGTAGGTGGTAGGCAAGGACCAGTCGACCGAGGCGGTACCACTCTATAGCTTTTCCCAGGATGTCTTATAAATGTCCGCATGTT